ATAAGTATTTAATAAACTGGGGCTTCGTTTCATATCTCCATGTAAGATGTTTCATTTGAAATAAATTCACAAATCAGAAAAGATCCTTGGTTACTATGCCTTTGTTTGGAAAACATGGTCAGCGTACATCTCTGCTATCACACAAAGGTCAGAACTTCAAATACTTAACACATATTAACAGGTTTCAAGGGTATGAAAACCTCACTTAACAGCTGACCATTAGTTAATAGAAATGGCGTCCTATTATATCCTGGGAATAAGAGGTAACTAGCATTTAACTGCTTTTCAAATCATGCTACAGAATATTCCTTGGACATAGCAAAATCATACTTTTATGAGCTAAATTGGGATTGAGGTCATTTGCCAACCAACACATTTTCTAATAAAATTTAAGTTGGCATTTGCCCCTAAAAAATGCATAGAATAAACACAAAAGAAAAATTATTTTGCTAGGTTAATGATCAAATGCTGTGTCACTCCTTTATATACTCATAAATGAATTAGGACATTTAAAATGCAAATCATGATATAATGAATGTTCAGAATATGCTTCCAAGGCTCCCTACTGCCTTCAGGATAAGGACCAAACTCCTTAGCCAAGCATATAAGAACCATGATCTGACCACCAAATGCTAGGATTAGAAAATTATTTTCTATCAAAAATCTTCACTATGTGGATGACCCTTTAGCAACTCTTGCCTCAAAGTTCCTTAGCCCTCTCATCTTTAATGATCTTCACCTTTACTTACTTCAGGTATCCATTTGCAAGACACATAACCAAGATCTAGAGGTGGTAAAGTATACACCTGAACTGCCTGATTTCAAATTTGAGCTCCAGTATTTACTCATCCTATGCCCCTGGACAAGTCACTGAACTTCTCTGTGCCTTGGTTTCTTCTTATGTGAAACGAGGTGTAAATGCGGTAATGTGCAAAATGCTTCAAATAATGTTTTTTTTCAAATATTAATTAACATCCCTATAAAGGTTTTATGTGGACATGTTTTCATTTCTTTGGGATAAATGCTTAGGAGTGTAAATGATGGATTCTACAGAAGTGCATGTTTAGTTTTTAAGAAACACTGAAACTGTTTTCCAGAGCAGCTGCCCCATTTTTATATTCCTACCAGAATTGTATGAGAGATCCAGTTTTTGCGTACCCTTGTGAGCAGTTGGTATTGTCACTATATTTTTTTAATGTTAGCTATTCTAATAGGTGTGCAGCAATCTCTCATCCTAGTCTTAATTTGTATTTCCCTAATGGCTAGCGATCTTGAACATCTTTTCATATTAATTGCTATACATACATCATGTTCACGTCTTTTGCCTATTTTCTAATTAGAATACATTTTTGTGATATTGAGTCTTGAGAGCTCTTTATGCATTCTAGATACTAATCCTTTGTCAGATATGTGTTTTGCAAATATTTTCTCCAAAGCGTGGTAGCTTTTTTTTTTTTCATCTTATTAACAGAGCAAAAATTTTTAATTCTGATGAAGTCAATTTGTTGACTATTTTCTTTAATGGATTATGCTTTTGGTGTCATGTCTGCTCAATAAATCCTAAAGTTTCATAGTTGTATGGTTTATATGTAAATGTATGATCCATTTCGAGCTCATTTGTATATAAAATGGGAGGTTTAGATTGAGGTTCACTTTTATTACCTATAGAGCTGCAATTGCTCCAATACAATTGGCTGAAAAGACTACCCTCCCTCCCTTGAAATGCCTTTGTACCTTCATGAAAATAATGAGGCCATATCAGGCCATGCTCCGTAGGGCTATTTGTGGATTCTCTATTCTGTTCTATTTGTTTACATAAGAAGTAGACAAGAAGACTTATCAAGTTACCTCGGCCAATTACACACTGTCTTGATTACTGAAGCAATACAGTAAGCATTAATATTATTAATACCTTCAGTTTATTCTTTTTCAAAATTGTGTTAGCCTTTACAGTTCCTTTCCATTTCTACATATATTAGTATTACCTTGTCTTTATCTATAAAAAATCTTGCTGGGATTTTGATACTGATTACCTTAAACTTATAGATTAATTTTTAAAGAATTGACATCTTTACCATGTTGAGTCTTCCACTCCATGAACACAGTATGTATCTCAATTTATCTAGATTTTCTTTGATTTCCTCCATCAGCATTCTGTAATTTTCAGCATATTAGACTGACAAATGTTTTGTTAGACTTATGTCTAAGAATTTCATTTGTTTTAAATTTTTGCAAATGGTACTATATTTTTAACTTCAGTTTCTATATGTCCACCACAGGCATATTCTTTTGCTACAAGTACTCCCTAGACAAGAATTCACACAGATTTAACCACCACCTCTATGCTACTGAAGACTAACTCTGTTTCTCTAATCCTGTTCTCTTCTACTGCAGATATCTCATGGGCATAGCTAACTTAACATATCCCAAGCTGACTCCTGCTCTTCTCATTCAAATCTGCTCATCCCCCTAGCTTTACTCACCTCAATAATCGGCAGCTTTGTCCTTTCAACTGCTGAGATTTATTTAAAAAAAAAAAAACAAACAAAAACTTGGCATTATCCATGACTTCTCTTTTTCTCTCATACTCCGCATATGATTTGTCAGTAAATGCTGCTGGCTCCATCTTCACTGTTACTATCCTCATCCAAGGCATAGCCAGTTTTTAAGACTGTACTATTGAAACAGCCTCCTAATTAGTCTCATTGCTTCTACCCTTGTCTAACACAGCTATTGTCCACATTGCAGCCAGAATAGGCCTGTTAAGCCTAAATCAAATTGTGTCACTCCCATGCTTAAAACCCTCCTTCTACTTACCCAGACGGAGTAAATCCAAAATCTTTCCAGTGGATTCTAAGTCTCCACTGCAGGATATAGTCTTCTGTCTCTCTCCATTACCTCTTTGAACCCATCTTTTTCAATTTTGTCTTTTGCTTAATCTATTCTAGCTAGTCTGGCCTCCTTGCTGTACTGTGAATAGGACAGGCGCACTTCTGCCTCTGGGATTTTGCACTTACCATTTCCTCAGCCTAGAATTTTCTCCCCCTGGATAGCTGAATGAATCATTCCTTTACTTCCTATCGATCTCTGCTGAAAGGTCATCTTCTCTGTGAGGCCCTCCTCATTTCCTTATTTTCTCCTCTCCTCTCTGTATTTAAAATTGCAAAACCACTTTCCAACCCTTCCTATTTCCCTTCTCGGCTTTTCTCAACGTTCGTTACAATCTAAAGTATTATATATTTTACTTACTTTGAATACTGTTTGTTTACTTCCTTTTGAATATATAAACTCTATGAAGATGATATCTAGAGTTCCTAAAACAGTACCTGGTATATAGTGGGTACTTGATAAATATTTGTTGAATGAATCAATCGATTTATCAATTTATCACATCTGGGCTTTAGAACAGGGGCTAGCAAATTACAGCCGACAGGCCTGTTTCCTATTTTGTAAATAGAATTTTTCTAGAACACATCTACAACCATCTGTTTACATATTGTCTATGGCTGTTTTTTCACTACAATGGCAAAGCTAAGTAGTTGTCACAGAGATCCATGGCCTGCAAAGGCTGAAGTATTTATTATACAGCCCTTTAAAGAAAAGCTTTCTGATCCCTCCTTGAGATTCACATAGTCAGCTCCGCCCCAGGCATTGCTCTCTGGATATCTTTCAGAAATCACAAATGCCACCTGTCCCAAACTGAACTTTTCTCTATTTCCCTCAAACTTTCCCATTCTGAATTTCTTATATGTATGAAGGGCAGCCCCATCCACTCAGTCAACCAAGTCAGAAAATCAGGATTCAGAAATCTCCCTCTCCCACATCCCCTACTTCCAGTCACCAAGTCTTGCTGCTTTTGCCTCCCTGTCCTTCTTTATTGAATTATGCTTTGCCCTAGGATGGCACTAGCTACCATGAAGCTTATACCCCAGAGTAGGGCCATCTGCTGCAAGTGTACAAGAACTGTCAATAAATATTGGTCTTAAGCTCACTCTGGGCATCATTTTCTGACTCTACCTTTGTTTTACTTTTTGTACTTGACCTCATTATAATGTATGATGCCTTATATTGTATATGTGATATAAAATATGCTATCATATATTATTTTAGAAGGAGATGGGATTCAAATAAGTATAAGTATTGATTTCTTTATAGTTTTGCTGGAGTTCAGGACCTGCTATCCCAAAATATGGTGACTTGGCATTTGTGGAAACAGCAGAAGCAAGGTTTCTCTACCTTCTTCCCTGGAGCAGGCCATAAAGAATTATCTGACCTTCCTCTAAAGTAGGTCATTCCAGAGATACCCTCCCTATAACTGGAGGAAAAGTATATCCCTATCCTCAAAGACACAGAAAAACCAAGAAGAATCTGAACAAACAAGCCTTGCTAAGATACCCCTAAGTTTATTACCATTGGATCATACCCTTCTGTCCTCTAATCACTAATCGTCACAACAATCCACTTCATCAAACTTAGTATAAAAAATGCAAAAGTTTACCTGTTTCTTTGGGTCTTCATTTCTAAAGGTTCTTGTGTCACATAAAACTTATTAAATAAATTTGTATGCTTTTGTCTTGTTAATTGGTCTTTTGTTATAGGGGTCTCAGCCATGAACCTAGCAATGGGTGAGAACATAAATATCTTCTCCCCTGCAGTTTCATTGTATATAAACCATTTTTATGCTGTCATTGTCCTATTTACCCATCTGTCTCCATATTATACATTGTTAACTCCTTAAAGGCACAGACAGTGACTTTTTCTTTTTCAGTAACCCCAGTATTTAGCATGGTGTCTGAAAATAATATAGTTATAATCTTAAGCAATATTTGCTGAATGAATGAATTACCCAGGGTCAGAGTTGCCATTAAATGTCGTTGTGTCATAATGGGATTTCCTTTCATTGTCAACGTGAGCCATGGAGGAAGACACAGCACTTAGAGACAGCTGGGGGAAGGTGTCACATGTTTGGAGGAGAGGTAGTGAGAATAGAAAAAGCATACCTTGCCAAAGTGCTCGATTAGTATTTCCACCACGATGTTCTGGAATTTGATGTTCATCATGGCGGCTACAGTATCCTCCTGAGCTCTCATCAGGGTGGGCCCAAAGATCACCCCCATGTTGGAGGGGGTCATAAGATTCTCTTTGCTGTGCTCACACACACTGCCAGAAGAAAAGGGGCAAGATTAACAAAATTTGCTCCAGTACCCTTTTACAGCCAAGACTGTGTTAGGTGCTAAAGAGGGTAAGAGAAACTAAAAAGTAGAAGGAAAGGAGCAACCTCAAGTATGTATTGGAAGAACTGGTCACAAAGGAAACAATCAGCAAAGAATACAAGATAGTATAAAACTAGGAGTCAAAGCGGTTAGACACAGCTAACCTAGCTAACAGCATTGAAGGAGTTAAGAGACAGATGGGGATGTGGGGAGGGACTACAGTTAGTTGGATATTATTTGGAGAGGCAAGAGGGAAGCAAGAGGGCATTCAAAGCAAGAGGAACAGCCCATATAAGTATAAAGCATGTACAAAGAACCAGAAAGCACATTGAGAGAATGCCTACCAGTCACCTAAATCAGCCCCTTCCCAACCCGCTTCCCTCCCACCATTAGAGAAGCAAAAACCTGAAAGGCCTGAAAGGGATCATTAAGATTAGCCCTTGATTATCTTCCTTATTTTACAGTTGAAAAAAAGACCCAAAGAAGGGAAGGAATTTCCTCGAAGTCACAGTCAATTAGCTATAGAGTAGAACCTGTAATCCCAGATTTTCTGTCACTTGCCTTGCTTAAATTCCCTTTAGTGGCTTCCTATCACTTTGGGACAGGAGCAATTCTCTTCAAAGTGGCAAATGAGGCCCTCCATAACTTGAGTAACTTGATCCCTATATCCAATTCCTACTCACAGGTTAGGCTCCGAAGCTGGGTTTGAATCCCAGCATGGCCACTCACTAGCTGAGCAACAGAGCGTTCACTCATCTAACCTCTCTGAACTTAAGTTTTCCTACCTGGGAAAATAGCACCCACTTCAGAGAGTCGTTAAAAAAAAATAAAGATAAACTACTTTAGCATGGAACCTGGCACCCTGGGAAGCATCTGTTGTTTTTATTATCTCTCCAGGAGCCTTCGGGCATTGCTGACCTCTGACACTCTTGTTATACTAAATTGCTTAGATTAGGGTTGTCTGGTTATACCACATTGTTGCAGACCCCCCCCATACCTCTCTTATGTAGTTCTCTCTACCAAGAATGTCCCCCTTTCCCTATATCTACAAAATGTCTATCTATCCTTGGAGATGCACATAATGTTATATCTCCTTCAGGGAGACCAGAGCCCACTGTGTTCATCTTAACTAAAACCACTGGCAAGTAAAGTAAGTTGCAATTTTCTCTTTACTTATTTGCCTCCTTTACTAGATGATAAACAACTTCCAAGTGTGTGTGTGCCTGCCACACAGCAGGTACTAATAAATTATTTGTAAAGGAATTGAGCTCCGCTGGTGCTCTTTCAAACAGTGCTGGAGGCAGCCAAGTAAAAGGCAATAATCCCTTTTGGTCAGTTTGGCTGTAGGGACAGCCCAACTGCATACCGAAAACACTTTCTCCAGACCTACCAAGTCTAAGGCCCAGAAGAGAACGGCAGGTTCTTAACAATGAGTGGGTAATTGAGAGGAACAGAATCCTTAGACAAATCTTAATGTGAAATCTGTTAAGCCCTAGACAAAGTGTGAGCACCTTTCAGGTGGAAATGAACAGCAACCATTCATAGCTTTTGATATTGCTGGGCTAGTGATATGTTCCTTTTAACAGTTTCAATACCCCTGCAATTAACCTTTATTCTTTAGTGACAGAATTTTTTTTCAGATATTAAAATGGAAAAGTATCTCTATGCTACCACCAAGTGACCTGAAAATGCTAAACCACTAGTAAAAAGGCAAGGACACTTGCTTATCTCTTTTTGTGAGTTTTGAAAGGAACTGATCTTTGTTCAGTGTCCCAGCAGTTCACAGAATCATCACAACTCCAAAAAGTAGAATATTTTAGCTTTGAAGCCTAGGTTTACCAAGAGTGAAGCACTTAGCAAAGTCATATGGCAAGACAGAGATTCAAACTCATATTTGTTGCTACCCGAGTATTATAGTCATTCAACTGCATCCCACTACCTGCTTGTCTAACTTTCTAGAGAAATTAAAACTCATATGTGAGCTCTTCTAAGCTAAAACCACCTTTTGTTTCTCTGAGGGCATTACTTGGCATCCCATTTAGAATACTCTTCCTTCTTGGCCTTCTTAGGAGATTTGGAAGTTCACCTATTCTTTGGGGAGATTGCTTTGTACTTAGTAGCTCTCTTTTTATTATATATTTTGCAAACCAGTAAAAGGGATAAGTCACATCCCAAATTGTTGGTTAACAAGATGAATGAAACCAAAAACAAGAGTATGTGATATTTGACAACAAAGGAATCTTGAACTCTCTAGTCCACTGAGGTTGGTTGTAAGAAGTCTCCAGCAGAGAATAAAAGAATTCTGATTGCATGGTTTAGATTAGAGGTCATAAATTTAAATGTCTAGAGGGGCAAGACAGGTAGCTTACATGAGAGAAATGGGCCTGGTGAGAAGTGGCTGCCACATTTAAACAAGCAGACATTCTTTAGACCACCATTTTCCCACCACTCACTCAGAGACACATCATCAACAGAATTACCTCTAGTTTTAAGAAAGGGAAATTCCTAGGCCACATCTAATGTAACTCTAATATAATATTTGTTAAAACACTTGGGAGTGGTGGGGGCTATGGCAAATTAGAAGCTTCTGCCCATTCCAAAGCAAGAGACCATTACTCAACTCCAACAGATCACTGCCACGTAGGCATGCAAGTCCAGTGTGCTGAGATCCTCTTTTTTTCCTGAAATGTATACTTTGATATGAACTATCTGGATTTTTAAAATGTTGAAGCCAAATCACATTTTTCCCAAAACACTGCAGGACAAATAAAATATATTTGTGGTCTGGATCTTGTCAACAGACTGCCAGACTAAGACCTCTGGGAGAATGAGAAGCTACCTATATGAACTTTAAGGTCTCGCCCAATTTTAGCATCCAATGAGTGTAAGAGCTGTATGCCCTCTGACTCCTATACAAAAAAGCGACCTTCAATAATTTTGGGTCCTTTACTAAAGTACGGTGTCTCTGGATCTATCTTTTTCCATCATTAGGTATCTGTCCCTCATCTGTAAAATGAAGTTATTAGATGATCTAAGTGAACTTCCAGCTCTAACAATTAAGTGAATCTAAGAAAGTCATACTCTTGAAAATAATGTAGGGCAAAGATAACCACACTCTGTGTCTCCTGTTAGAAGAACACAGAGCCATCTATTAGTGTGTTTGTCTTTCCCACCCTATACATACATATATACACAACACACACACACACACACACACACACACACACACAGCCCCTGAAAACACAAAACAAAAAAGGAAGCAGAAATTTGAACACAGAGTAATTGATAATAGTATTACTCATTTCTTTTTAGATATGATAATGTTATATTTATAAAGTGTTCTCATCTTTTCAAGACATAAACTGAAATATTTATGAATGAAATAATAGGATGTCTTGGATTTGATTCAAATTAAATGGGAAGAGGGAAAATGGGGAGGATATAGATAAAACAAGATTGGCCATGTGTTGATTATAGTTAAAGGAGTGGTGATAGAAACACAAGACTTCCCTATACTGTTTCCTCTTTTTTCGTATATACTTGAAATCTTGCATAATAAAAAGTTCTTCAAAAGGAAAAGACAACAGTGGAAGGAGACAGTGAGTCAGGGTCACAAGTGAATAGGTCCCTCTCCCCAAGGATGGTGCCATTTTTTAAGGGCTGGCATCTTTGGCTTCCTCCACTGGTATTATATTATCTGTTATTTACTTTAAATACTTCGACAAAGTCCATATGATGTCATGAATTTCATCAGTCATCAGTTACGAACCCAACATTATTTATGTACCACTAAGAAAGAAAAGTAATTTCATTGTCATATCATCATATATTTTTGAAGACATTTAAATAGAAAATAAACTCAACAATGAACATAATTTAAGTGACTATAATATGAGCAGCTATTACAAGTTCATGCATGCGGAGGCTATGATAATTACATCAAAATGGCTGCCTGACAATTGTAATTTTAAGAAACCATTGATTCTCAGATGTGTAGAATTCAGATTACAATTTGAAAAAAGTGTTATGAGAACTGATGAAATTTGGTTTATATGTTTGTTAGTTTTCATGTATACTCTAAAACATGTTAGTTATGATTATAGTATTTGTGAATACATACATACTTTAGGGGTTACTAATGAGTATTTAAAGGACACAGACAAAGCCAGAGGAGCTTGTATAAGTTTCAGCTAACTTTATTTCCAGTCAACACCAAAGGCTTTGTTAATGAGTAAACATAAGGCAAAAATGAATTATCATTGCCTAGATGTATTAAAGACATATGGACTGGCTGAAAATATTGTACAGACACTCCCAACCGTGCATTAACAGGGTAGAAAAATATAGCAATGGTCAATCTTAACATCCGTAAAGTGAATCAACTAATCTTAAACATCTTCAGATGTGATGCAGCATATGGTATACAACATCACCTATTATTTGTTCCAGCCAACAAGTAGTTAACTTGACTCCATCTAGCCTTTAGATATAATCTCTACTTTACAAAAAAATACAGGAAGTAGAGGAACTAGCTGAAATATATGACAAAGAAGAAAGTAGACAAAACTAGGAAGTAACATTCTATAGGACAATTAGTCTTCTCTTGTTGGTAAACCAGTGTCATAAAAAAAAAAAAAGGCACTGTGCAGGGACCATGCTAATCTTCTCTATATCATTACAATTTTAGTATAGGTGCTGCCAAAACACTCCTCAATAACTTCAAAAGAATGGAAATCATAACAAAAAGTCTCTCAGACCACAGTGCAAACAAATTAGATCTCAGGATTAAGAAACTCACTCAAAACTGCACAACTACATGGAAACTGAACAACCTGCTCCTGAATGACTACTGGGTAAATAACAAAATTAAGGCAGAAATAAAATAAGTTCTTTGAAACCAATGAGAACAAAGACACAACATACCAGAATCTCTGGGATACAGGTAAA